CGTGAGATGTTCCCTGTGCCACTGACTGCAACACAACCCCAAAGCATGATTGATCTAACCCCATGCTTAACAGTTGGATAGAGGTTCTTTTCATTAAATTCTGTGCCCCTTCTCCAAACGTACCTTTGCTCATTCCGGCCAACAAGTTCAATTTTAACCTCATCGGTCCACAGAACTTGTTTCCAAAATGCATCAGGCTTGTCTATATGTTCATTTGCAAAGTTCAAATGATGATTTTTGTGGTGAGGACGTAGAAGAGGTTTTCTTCTGATGACTCTTCCATGAAGACCATATTTGTACAAGTATCTCTTTATAGTGGAATAGTGTACCACAACTCCAGTGTCTGCCAGATCTTTCTGGAGGGATCATGCAGTCAAACGTGGGTTTTGAATTGTTTTTCTCACAATCCTGCGAGCTGTTCTGTCTGATATTTTTCTTGGTCTTCCAGATCATGCTTTAACTTCCACTGTTCCTGATGACTGCCATTTCTTAATTACATTCCGAACAGAGGATATTGACATCTGAAAATGCTTTTCTATCTTCTTATAGCCTTCTCCAGCTTTGTGAGCGTCAACTATTTTCAGTTTCAGTTTTCTAGACAACTGCTTAGAAGAACCCATGGTGCTGATTGTTGGGGCAAGGTCAGATGAGTCTGGGCATTTAAAACCTTTGAGATTGACATCACCTGGTCTTCCCAGACGATGATTGAGAACAATCCATGACACTGGCAGGTCTCAGCTTTGCAAAGGGGGCAGCGCATGCTATAAATTCTGCAGGGTGCCCAAACTTTTGCAGACGCCATTTTTTTGTTTTCTGTTATTTTGAAAGTGTAAATGATGGAAATAAAATCTAACTTTTGTTGACATATTATAAGAATGTCTAATTTGTAATTTGATGCCTTTTGGAGATTTTTCCATCTTTCCTTGGCTTCTTTATGCACATTAATACAAATTTTTAGCTGGGGTGCCCAAACTTTTGATCCCCACTGTAGTTTTAGAGTGAAGTTTTAGAGCCCAAACCAGACTAATGATTTATGTGAATGAAAAACAAACAAACAACCAACAACAACAAAAAGTCTAAAAAAGAATGCAGCCACCACATCTAAGGACTAGCAAGTTGTCTGTTCTTTCACATAGAACTGAAAACAGATAAGATCCATCTGCAGGTAAATTTTTGAAAAGATCCAATCCCTTTGTAAAAACAAATGACAATGACTACTGGATAAACCCAATAGCAGGACAAAGTTCTAACCAATGAGGTAAAACTATAGTGTGTGTATATATATCTATATACAGTTCGGTCCATATATATTTGAACACAGGTATAATTTTCATACTTTTGGCTCTGTATGCCACCAGAATAAATTAAAACGAAACAATACAAATTAATTTGAAGTGCAGACTTTCAGCTTTAATTCAAGGGGTTGAATATAAATATCAAGTACAAAGTTTAGGAACTGCAACCATTTTTATACACAGTCCTTCCATTTTAAGGGGCTCAAATATAATTGGACAAATGAATATATTCATAAATAAAATGTTCGTTTTTAATATTTTGTTGAGAATCCTTTACTGGCAATTACTGCCTGAAGTCTGGAACCCATGGAAATTACCAAAGACTGGGTTTCCTCCTTTCTGATGCTTTGCCAGGCTCTAACTGCAGTTGTCGTCAGTTGACCTTTGTTTGTGGGTCTTTCTGCCTTTAGTTTTGCCTTCAGCAAGTGAAATGCATACTCAATTGAGTTGAGATCAGGTGATTGACGCGGCCATTGCAGAATATTTAACTTTTTTTCCTTGAAAAGCTCCTGGGTTGCTTCTGCAGTGTTTTGGATCATTGTCCATCTGTTCTGTGAAGCGCCGTCCAATCAACGTTGCTGCATTTGGCTGAATCTGGGCTGACCGTATATTTCTAAACACTGCAGAATTCAACCGGCTGCTGCTGTCTTCTGTCACATCATCAATAAACATCAATGACCAAGTGCCACTGGAAGCCATGCATGCCAATCCACTGCCTCCACCGTGTTTTACAGATGACGTTGTGTGCTTTGGATCATGAGCTGTTCCAAGCCTTATCCACACTTTTTCTTCCAGTCATTCTGGTACAGATTAATCTTAGTTTCATCCAAAAAATGCTTTTCCAGAACTGGTCTGGCTTTTATAGATGTTTTTTGGCAAAGTGTAATCTGGCTTTTCTATTCTTCAGGCTTAGGAATGGCTTGTGGTGAACCCTCTGTATTTGCTCTCAAGAATGAAGTCTTCTCTTGATTGTAGACTTTGACAATGGTACGCCCACTTCCTGGAGAGTGTCCTTCACTTGTCTGGATGTTGTGATTGGGTTTTTTTTTTCTTTAACATAGAGAGGATCCTGCGATCATTCACCACTGCTTTCTTCCGTGGACGTTCATGCCTTTTTATGTTGCTGAGCTCACCAGTGCTTTCTTCTTTCCTCAGAATGTACTAAAACTGTTGATTTGGCCACTCCTAATGTTTCTGTTATCTGGCTTTGATTTTGTTTTATTTTTGACGCCTTACAATGGCCTGTTTCACTTGCATGGACTGCTCCTTGAACACATGATGTAGGTTCACAGGAACAGATTCCACATGCAAATATCACATTTAGAATCAACTCCAGACCTTTTACCTGCTTAATTTATGAAGAAATAACGAAGGAGTAGCCCACACCTGGCCATGAAACAGCTTTTGTTTCAATTGTCCAATGACTTTTGGTCCCTTGAAAAAGGGAGGATGGCTACTCTTTAAGAGCTGTAATTTCTAAACCCTTCCTCCAATTTGGATGTACATACCCTTAAGTTAAACCTGAGAGTGTGCACTTTCAGCCCATATCCATTATATAGCTATAGCATGTGTATGCGTGCGTGCGTGTTATACTGTTGACTAACAAAGCTGAACAGGCGAATGTTTTTCAAACAGTGCCAAAGGGTTTAAAATGGGATAGGAACACAAGAAAAAAAACTTACATTTTCAATAATTTATTCAGCAAAAATATTAATTAAATAAGTATAATGGTGTACTGTGGAAAAAGCAAGAACACCCCTGGCACATCAGAATCTAGTGTTGCTGCCTGTATATGTAATGACTACCAATCTCTGACCAATTCAATGACCATTCTGACCACTTATCTTACAGCTGACGAAGTTTTGCATGGAGGTTTGTGGTTTCCTTCCCTGAACTGCCTATCTCCAAATCCTCCTACAAAAAGTCAAATATAATTTAATCCGGGCTTTGATGACAAGAGCAATCCATAATCCCCCTTTTTTTTTTTTTTTTTTGTCATTCCTTGATGGATTTGCTAGTGTTTTTTAGATTATTACGTTGAAAGACTCCTCATTCTTGGTTCGGCTTCAACTTTTGGACAGATGTCCTCACATTCTCATCAAGCAGCGCAATCCCAAGCCATAAAATTTCCACTACCATGCGTCACAGTTGTTACGAAGTTCAGTTTGTGGCAAACATGCCTGTTACTATGACCAATCTTTGAATGATCAGCCTTCAGTATAATAGAACTTCAGAGGCTTAGTCTTTGTCCATAGGTTCAATGCAAAATGTAATCTTTATTCTTCTTTTTTAGGCTTTTTAACATATCTCTCATGCAGGTTGAATTCGTGAAATGTCTGCTTGCAGATGCATGTACTTTGACCCAGCTGTTGCAAGAGTTACCTGAACACCTGGTAATGAAATTTCGGGGGGGGGGGGGGGGTGTTCTTGGAGACTTCTTTTAGCGTCAAACGGTCATCTGTTGAGTTGTTTGAAATCTATATATTTTCCTTACAGAATAACGATTGATTTCATATCATTTGCTGATCTTTTTAAATCCCTTGCCAGACTGATTGGCATCCACAACATTCTTTCGGAGGACCTTAGAGAGCCCTATTGGTTTTGACACGACAAAGCCACGTGTCAATAGCAAATAGAACACCAGACCATAAAAGTTTACATAAGACCAACAAATTACTTCCCCAATCTTAGTGTCCCATTTCACAATTGACAGTGGATTTTAAAGACAGTTCCCGCCTATATAAAACTTTTTTTTTTGTGTATCAATTCCACCATATCTGGAACACCCGCTTCTAATTTCATGGATTTAAAGTGCTGGTAATGTAGAGGTGTACTTACTTTTTCCATATGACATACAGTGCCTTGAAAAAGTATTCATACCCCTTGAAATTTTCCACATTTTGTCATGTTACAACGAAAAATGTATTTTATTGGGACTGTATGTGGTAGACCAACACAAAATGGCACATAATTGTGAAGTGGAAGGAAAATGATAAATGGTTTTCAAAATTTGTTACAAATAAATATCTCCCGAATATTGTCCCGAATACAAACAAAAGCTTTGTATAGCTGCAGTAGGACTGCTTTATGCAAGTGTCTGACAATAGTGCAATGTGCTAAAGTATCATTGTGGAAAGCCCGAGGGCATCTTTTAAATCCTGTCGCTAGCAATAGCTAGGCTGTTCGGCATGCAAATTAACTAATTTCTAAGCCTTTGTGTAAAGGTAAGAGTCAATTGATTAGTAAGAATTATTAAACCTTAGTGATCATGGACAGATGTCAGTGCAGAGTGTACGTGATATAAAATGTGCCATACTCTTGCAAAATAAAGGATTTATGGAAACACAGGGATAAGTTATCTTCTTGGTAAGCTATTTATAGGTATAATCAACCATATTTGCATACATTTCCCTTGTATTATAATTTATGACCTCACCTCAATCTACATACAAATCAGCTACTGTCCTTTTCCTATAAAAATAGGGGTATGGCTGCCAGTCATGCAATAATGCCCACGGGTGCAAACCAATTACTAACAAAACTACAGTATTCCTTCAATGTATACTGTGTATGCCACACCATCACTTGACATTTGCACGACTGACAGCATACACAGAATGAGAAGTTAATTCAGAAATGTCAGCTGAAGTATTGTGCATTTGTTATATGCAGTTAAAAGCACACAGTCCCCACCCCGCCTCTTACTTTTCTTTCTCGATTTCCATGGACAGGCGTTTCATATCTGTGTCCTTGAAATCGTAGGGCAGACTGTCACTGAGCAGGCTGAAGCTTGGCACATCTACAGGGGGCACAGAGCTACTGCTGGTACCTGCTGCTTGCTGAAAAAGTAATGACGTACGATTAGAGAAATTGCAAGCTTTAGAAATGGATGAAACATTGACAAAAACTAAACTAAAATAACACTGTTCATCTCCTTTCTGAATTTGTGAGGTTTGGCACTTTGAGTGTAGCAACAGTAGGGTAAAGAAAAGCTTACTTTAGTCCAATCCTAACTGCCAAGCACAAATTCTATTGACACAACAATAAATCTCTAATATCGTCCAAGGTGATCTACTATGATCACGTGTGCCCTTCACAACTGTAATTGTCCTAATTGTTGCTTACATAAAACAACTATTTTGTTACATTTAAAGAAGAATTCCAGGATAAGCCCAACTAGTCTTAAAATGCTCCCACCCCAACTCCTAACAACTATGCTGACTAATCTGTGTAAGAAAAGTATATTTGTCTACCTATTCTCAACCCGTTCTGGTCACATAATCCAGCTCCCTTGTGACAGTCATCGGCAGGTACAGGGGAGAGGAGTGAGCACAAAGGATGGATCATAGGAGCCTATGGGTGACGTGACCAGGCCAGAATATGCTAAAAATAGGCAAGTATATACATCTTTCTTACACAGAATAGTAAACATAAGTATTAGGAAGGGGGATAGGTCATTTTTAAGACTAGTTAGGTTCATCCCAGAATTCTACGTTACCCTCTGGTCACATCAAAGACTATTTTGAAATTGTGCGACTTACAGTGAAGTCGCAAGATTTCAAAATCAGGTGACTTACCAATTTCATTGTGATCTGCAAGACATCTAACACGGATGTCTATGCTAATCGCATCAATAGTACATGCACTACTTTAGAAATCGGTGCAGCTCCGACCAAGTTGGAACTGCACCGATAGGACAGCTCTAATAGTGGACAATAGGGTGCGACTTGGCATACGATTTGCAAGTTGCCTGGCATATAAATCGCATGCCAAGTCACACCCGGTGTGACCAGGGTGTTAAGGGCATTTTATAGAATGGTCAGACAAGGCATGTAAATGATCAAATGGCAATCACTCCAACTTCCTCCACAGCCTCCAAATTGGTATAAAACATTCCCAAAGTCCACATGGATCATCGACATCAAAGGTGTAATGGCTTCCGACATCAAAAAGGCTTCCCATAGTGTTATATCCTTTAAACGTTTATTAAAATCAAATTGGTGCACTTACATGTATAGAGATACAAGACAGCGTTGTTAGAATGGCAAAAAAATGCGTGTGCCCACTTCCAAGATGGCCACGAGCATGCATGGGGACGTCCGTTCTAGCTCCTTCTGACGCATTTCGTCAGAAATGTTATCGAGGGCTGTTAAGGATCCTTGATATCATTTCTGACGAAACGCGTCGGGAGGAGCTAGGACGGACGTCCCCACGCATGCTTGTAGCCATCATGGAAGTGGGCACATGCTTTTTTTTGCCATTCTAACAACGCTGTCTTGTATCTCTATACATGCACTATTTTGATTTTAATAAACGTTTAAAGAATTGTACACTATGGGAAGTATTTTTGTCTCGCATGCCCATTACACCTTTGATGTTAATGATCCATGTGGAGTTTGGGAATGTCTTCTTTTACCAATTTGGAGGCTGTGGAGGAAGTTGGAGTGATTGCCATTTGATCATTTACATGCCTTGTCTGACCACTCTATAACATGATGGTCAAAGGTTTCCGGTAAGCCTCCCTTGAGCACAGAGTGGGGTGAAACACACTGCACTAGATTGTGTTTGGTCACGTTTATGTTTTCAATCATCTATGATTGCACCCAAGGACATTTCACATTGAGTTGGGTGAATAAGGCTGCACTTGAATATATCAGAATATTCCTTGTGATTGAAGATCCCTTTTCACATTCAATGACTGTTCACTATGCTTTTCTGCAGCGGAATTGATCATTAATATGGTTTTTTAGGTTTGTTGATTTACACAATTGGAGTTATAATTTAAGCTGTTAAGCGCTGCACTTTTTTTTTACACATATATGTCCAAGAATGGTTTTGGAATGACTCCTGGAAACTCCATAGCTAAAAACAAAAGTATTACATAAACAATTCAAGTTTGATAGAAGGAAAGCAGCAAGTGTTGAAAGACAGAAATTATAATGGATCTTTACGAAGAAAAGGCAACTGCATAGCTTAAGGAATCTTAAACTTGAGTATACGTTTTTTTTTTTTTAAGGATTTTCCTAATAAGAGAATGCTTCATATCTGCCTGGCCATATGACACAGACTAACCATCCCATTTTGCAAAAACCAAAAGCAGTGATCTCAACTGATATCTCTGGTGTCTCCTGCAGTTGAAAAATGGAATTGCAAAAATGACTATTCCTGCTGCCACTGAGGCACTGCACAGTTAATAAAAAAAAAAAAATAGTAAAGTGTCTAGGGATCTCTACATATATGTGTGAATTGTTACCAAGACAACCAATCAATCAGGTTTAGTGGCACTTTAAATAGCCCAGTAATGTTGTTTGAATTACCTAGTATGTTTATTAGAGAATAAAATTGTTCCAAGAATCAATTAGGTTCAGAAGAACTGGAAAACTATGCATGCACCATTACCCTACAGAGGTTTTTGGGCTACACATGCACAATGTATAAATGGATTTCAAATCAGTGACCGACAGTGTAAATGAATACCATAACATAGTCAAGCTACACATTATTAAATATAGATCCCATCATACCAAAAAATAAATATGCACAAGAGTCAAACTCATAAGAACTCTTTCCTAAAGTACACCTTGCAGCATATATATTTACTCATGGTAAATGCCAGCATGCCAAGTAATGTGTTAAATTTTCATGTTCCTTTCTCTCCAGAAGGCCAGTGCCATCTTTGTTCAGGCATCATCCAGACTTAGCACTTACTTCCTAAACTAACTGGCCCAGAGATAACATTTTTATGTAAACCCTAGTGCTTAGGAAGTATCCGTTATATTTAGGTTTTACGTACACTTTTTTTGTACAGCTCAGCTCCCTGCTACAGCTTCTTACTTGACAGAGTAAGTATGAATGGTGACTCGGTAGTCATGACTGAAGGAAAGATTCCCACTGCCTGCAGATGACTGGTGATGTCCTTTTCCCCAAATCCTCCTCTCAGGCAGGCATTGAGCGGCTGTGTCTAGGTACAGTCACTTGTCTCGACTCTAGAGCTAGAACACTGATGTACATTGTGACATATCAGAAATTAATTATGTAGACATATGAAATACAGATAGGTCTGCTCTAATCAGTGGAACAGAAAAGTAAATGTAAGTGACTGTTTGTTTTAAGTAGAGTATAACCCAAACGTTGGGATAATTATTTTAAAAAGTGAATAGCCTTACCGCATAGGCTGCTTTGCTGGTGATTTCTATTAGCTTTTGTTTGGCTCTGCGTTCAGATTCCCGGGCTTCCTGTAAATCTTGCTTCAACTGCTCTGCTTCTTTTGCCCTGAAAAAAAAGGTAGAAGTAATATCACTACTGTATGCAAAATGAGAAATCCCTATGTAGGACTCATGTACAAAAGACATTTTCCGAACTCTCCCAGAAGTCCTTCCTCTTGCCAGCAGCATTTTGCAGAAAAAAATGCCTGACGCTTCTCAAAGTGTGTGTGGCCTCATGTACTCAAGGCGTTTTTGCAGCCACTGTTAAGGGCGTCAGGAGTTTTTCTTATTTACAGCTTCCAAACAGCTTTTCATGTAATCCTATGTGTCCCTGCACACGCAGACTTTTAGAAGCTTTTTGCAGCAGTAGTGTTTACCAGCAGGAAAGAACCCAGGGCCAGTGCGTCCAGAAGCAGCAGCGTTATGGCAGAAAAAAAAGCCTGACGCGTGTAAACGTTTCTAAACGCGTGTCAATGCTAGAGGCGTTTAGCACTTGAGCGTTAATTTATTCTGGGCATTGAAATGAATTATTATTCTGGCCAATGAAATCATCGCCCAAGGGCTTGATGCCTGTAAACGTGCCTAAACACTTGTAAAAGCATTAGACACTTTGACAATCGTCAGGAGTTTTTCCTGCCCAAAACACTGCTGCCAAGAGAAGCAGCGTTTTTAAAATGTCCTGTGTGCATGAGGCCTTAAAAGTTTATGTGTGCATGTACACATAGGATAAGATGCAGGGGAGCTTGACTTTTTTTTTTCTTCTGCCTCTAGATGCCCCTTGAAGCTGCAGTAAAATGGTCTAGTGCGTACGAGGCCTTAGGCTAGGTTCACATCTGTGCGGGTGGTGCCGCTGCGGATCCGCGCGAAAATCCATGCAGCCGCACCACCCGCACAGAAGAATGCGGACCTGCAGTTGGGTGCCATTAGTTCTAATGGCACGCTGCCCACACTGGAAAAAACACAACCGTACTGGGAACTGAGGTTACCGTGTGGGCTGCGTCTTCGGAAGAAGTGCAGGGACTTCTTTCCTGCGTGTCACAGGCACGGGAGTCCATTCAAATGAATGGGCTTTCGTGCCCGTGCAAAACACGGCCCGCACAGCCGCAAATATGTGAACCGGGGCTTAAAGTTTATGTCAGGTATTCGACTTTCAAACATATTTGTATATTTCATTTCTTCCACAACGTCACACTGGTTTCTCTCTATATATTGTACAAATCATTTGTTTACATAACAACTGTGTCAGAGTGTGTCAAGTTATCTTTGCACAATCGCTAAGTTTGCGTACTTAGTAATGCACATATTATATCCTAAAACTAGACTAAAAAACATACTGTGCCTTGAAAAAGTATTCATCCCCCTTGAAATGTTCCACATTTTGTCATTTTACAACCAAAAACAAATGTATTTTATTGGGATTTTATGAGATAGACCAACACAAAGTGGCACATAATTGAGAAGTGGAAGGAAAATGATAAATGGTTTTCAAAATTATTTTACAAATAAATATCTGAAAAGTGTGGCGTGCGTTTGTATTCAGTCCCCTTTACTCTGATACCCCTAACTAAAATCTAGTAGAACCAATTGCCTTCAGAAGTCACCTAATTAGTAAATGGAGTCCACCTGTTTTTAATTTTATCGCAGTATAAATACAGCTGTTCTGAAGCCTTCAGAGGTTTGTTAGCGAATATTGTGAAGGCCAAGGAACACACCAGACAGGTCAGGGATAAAGTCATGGATAAGTTTAGAGCAGGTATAGGTTATAAAAAAATAGAGCACTGTTCAATCCACCATCCAAAAATGGAAAGAGTATGGAACAAATGCAAACCTACCAAGACATGGCCGTCCACCTAACTGACAGGCCGGGCAAGGACAGCATTAATCAGAGAAGAAGCCAAGAGGCCCATGATAACTCTGCAAAAGCTGCAGAGATCCACAGCTCAGGTGGGAGAGTCTGTCCACAGGACAACTATTAGTCGTGCACGCCACAAATCTGACCTTTATGGAATAGTCGCAAGAAGAAAGTCATAAGAAGTCCAATTTACAGCTTGCAAGAAGCCGTATGGAGGACACAGCAAACGTGGAAGAAGGTGCTCTGGTCAGATAAAAGCAAAACGCTGTGTATGGCAAAAAAAGAACACTGCACATCACCCTGAACACACCATTCTCACCGTGAAACATGGTGGTGGCAGCATAATATTGTGGGGATGTTTTCTTTAGCAGGGAAAAGGAAGCTGGTCAGAGTTGATGTTAAGATGAATGGAGCCAAATATAGGGCAACTTTAGAAGACCTGTTAGAGTCTGCAAAAAACTTGAGACTTGAGTGGAGGTTCACCTTCCAGCAAGACAAGGACCCTAAACATACAGCCAGAGCTACAATGGAATGGTTTAGATCAAAGCATATTTATGTGTTAGAATGGCCCAGTCAAAGTCCAGACCTAAATCCAAATGAGAATCTGTGGCAAGACTTAAAAATTGCTGTTCACAAATGCAATCTGACAGAGCTTGAACTATTTTGCAAAGAGGAAAGAGGAATGAGCAAAAATGTCACTCTTTAAATGTGTAAAGCTGGTAGAGACATACCCAAAATGACTTGCAGCTGTAATTGCAGCGAAAGTTGATTCTACAAAGTATTGACTTAGGGGGGCTGAAAACAAATGCACAACACACTTTTCAGATGATATTTATTTGTAAAAAATATTGAAAACCATTTATCATTTTCCTTCCACTTCACAATTTTGTGCCACTTTGTATTTTATTGGGATTTGATGTGATAGACCAACACATTTACGTTTTTGGTTGTAACATGACAAAATGGGGACATTTTCAAGGGGTATAAACACTTTTTCAAGGCACTGTATGGACAAAGCGCAATGCTTTTACCCATTGCCCCATAAACACATCACCTTACCTTCTTTCAGACTCTTCTGCCATCTTGAGTGCCAACATCTCTGTTTCTAGCACTTTCTGTTCCATGAGTCTCTTTTCTTCTTCACCGCGAATGGCTGTAGCTTTAATCCTCTGCATCTCCTGCTCTGCCTCAGCTGCTTTCTGGGCAAGCAGTTTAGCTTCTTCCTCTGTGATCTGAGCTTTTTCCGCTAGCAAATCTGCTGTTTCTTCAGACCTCATCTAGATGGAAAGAAAAGCAACTAACAATTCTGTGTCCGAGCTTGATGACTCATGAGTCATTTCTTTTATAAATACAGTTATCGCAGCAATTCTGACTTAAGGGCAGTGTATTTATGTCTCACCAAAGCATCATTGGCCATTTGTGCCTCTTCCTTCAGCTGCAAGAGTCTTCTTTCAAGCTCATCACGTGCCCTCTCGGCCTCTCTCTCTCAATTGCTTTTCTCGTGCCAGCCTCTGACGCTCCATCTGCGGGGAATTAAAAATTGGTTTTAGCATAACAGTGTTGGATAAACCAAACAAGATAAAGCTGCCATTTTCATCTGTTGTCAGCAACAAAGCTCAATAAAATGAGATCGCTGCACTTGTGCACCCAACTGCCTGTAAGGGACCGCCCGGCGGTACCACTAGCACTCCACTGGTCGGATGTTCCCAGCGCACGGAGTCTAAGCCCCAGGGTACTTGTTCACCAGGGCCCCTGATGGTGGGGATGGACTTGGAGTACCCTAGGACCAGGTCGTGACTACTGAGGACACCCGTCAGTGGTAGGGGTATTCGCCAGGGGCTCCCACGGGAGAGAGCCAGGTATGAGGAGGTCTGGAGACCCCGTAGAGAGGGACGGATGGATGGATGGATGGATGGCTGAGCAGGAGCAGGGTCATACAAGCCGGGTCGGTAACTATGGGGACGGTGCGGTACAGAGCAGCGGGCAGAGAATAGTCGGGTCACACGCCAGGTCAGCAACAGCAGGTCAGATCCAATAGGGGGCATTCAGGAGAGAGGTCAGGCAAGCAAGGGTCAAAACAGGAGAAAACAGCAAGGTCAGGGCACAATCCGGGTCAGCAACTTACTTCAGACAGGTTCACAGGATACAAAAGACCAAAAGGCACTGAATGACAGCTCAGGGCCGTTTAAATATCCCGCCCTGCGCTGTCATTGGTGCCAGGCGCGCGCCCGCGGTCACTACTGCGCATGCGCGAACCTGATTGCCGCGGTCGGCCAAGTCCCGGCGCTCGCGTACAGGGAGGTGTACTGCGCATGCGCCGGGACCAGCGGCGCGACGATCTCCGACACTGCCATTGCTGCTGTAACAGGGTCTCTCTCTCTCTCACGGGTTCACTGTGTATTTTGCATTAAAGAAAAAATAAATTAGAAATGGCGCAAATCCATAGCAGTGGTGGGTAGGTGAATTGAGACCTCTGGCAAAATGTTTCCAACAGAGAAAAGAAGCCTTTGGGATGGTTCAGCCTATCAATAACCATCTATAATTAAAATTTCAGTACTGAATGAACAGATCTATTACAAGTTGATTAAGCTTAAAATATGTAGTCAATAGAACCACAGCCTACTGTTCTGTATGTCAACAATGAATTCAGCAAATTGGAAAAAATTCTTCACATTGTTCTACCTAAAAGCAGGTTATATCAAGACTGCATTAGCAATTTTTCGACATTTAGCTATAAACCTGAAATAAGCACAGCTGCAATAGTAGGTAAAAGAAAATACTCTAATAATCTGGACTTGCTTGAATATATATATATATATATATATATATATATATATATATATATATATATATCTATATATATATATATCTACACACACCCCTGTTAAAATGCCAAGTTTCTGTGATGTAAAAAAAATGAGAAATAATTTCAGAACTGTTAATGTGACCTAGAAACTGTACAACTCAATTGAAAAACAAAACTTTAAAATTTTTTGTTTACTCCCCCCTTCCCCTAAAAGATTTAACAATGCGGTTGCATAATTGTGCACACCCCCTTATAACTGATGACGTAGCTGTGTTCAGAATTAGACAATAACATTCAAAATCATGTTAAATAGGAGTCAGTACAGACCTTTCATCATTTAAAGTAGAAAGGAGGAGCCAGGAGAGCCTGCGGGGACCAGAGAAGGGGAGGATCCAGGCTTCTCTGTGCAAAACCACAACACACAGCAGGACTGCTGAGTGGAGGAGGAGTAACGTAAGAGAAATCTACTGCTTTTTAAAGGAAGATTTGTATCCATCCATGTGACGTTACCATCCGGAGCCCTATATGAAGCACACAAGCGCTATATGACCTTACTTAATGGATCGGTCATATATTCCAGGGTTTCAGATCCACAGCAGCAGTTTCCCAGTTCATCTATCATCCAGAGGAGGGAGCCCATTCATCTAGGCTTTCCATATGCTGCTTAAGGGGATCTCCGAGACCTGCTGTACATTACTTCACCCAAGGCTGATGACTTACCCCTGAGGGATGTACCACCTGTTGCCAGCTACTCGGTTTGATGGTCACTTATATGCGCATTCCTAATGCGCGGTCGGTGAGTGCACATTTTTGCTACATATTTTCTGCCATCAGTATATCTCAGGAGAGGAAGCTTTTCATGGTTCTGCACATGATGATTTCTATGAACATTCATTGAACTACCATAATTGTATTTATTTTCAGCGCTGCACTATAATTTTATATACTCTGCTACAGTTTGTTTGGCTGGCGGCAGCGGGCGAGTAGGGCGTCGCAGTCACGTGAACGGTGGTGGAGAGCAGGTTCACTCAAACAGAGAAGGGCTGCTTGTTGCATCACTGAGCCGAGATTGAAGCTTAGTGGTCGGTAGCAGCTAAAAGGAAGTGGGGAGCTTTCGTGGACCGGATACACTGCTGCTGAACAATTTGTAGACCTGTGAGCTGAGCTGATGTTTTTGGGTTGTCTCTTTGCTGAATGGGGACATCTCTGCAGGATTAGGCTGTCTCTTTACTATATGGGGCGGTGTCTTTGCTGGAGGGGATGTCTATTTTGCTGTCTCTTTGCTATATGGGGATGTCTGTTTGCTGAATATAAGGGCATGTGTCTGCTGGATTGGGCTGTCTCTTTGCTGGATTGGAATGATGCTTTGCTGAATATTTGGGGCTGACAATTTGCTCTCAGATTCCTATTGCCCAATGTCCCGAACATCCAATTCCAGGCACCTGGCTCCTAACTTTATTAGCTGGCGCCTAGAATCAAAGCAAATTTGTCAAGCTCTGCTGTATACACACAAAACACACACACACACGCTAAATGGCTGCATGTAAGCCCTATTTACAGTATATGTGTACACAATTCCAGTCATAAGCCTGGTACATGCGTAAAGCTTTTTTTCATGCAAGCCAGCGGGCCGAACAAAAAAACTGACAGATTTCTATAGACATGCCATGTTGGTGCCGCACTTTCCCCGGCTGTGCCTTGGTTGCGAACGCTGATTGGATGCTTCGGTCGGAAAGACAGCTGTACGCACTGCTCGAATGTCAGCCGGTTTCTGCTGAACCGGCCAATACCGTCCGACATTCGGCCTGTTTGTACCCAGACTTCTAAAATTATAATTACCTGAATTTGTGAGAGAAACAACATTAGTACATGTGCAGAAATAACAGGTTAGTGAGGGCCTACACTGCAGAAAGACCTTGTTATCGACTCATTGTTTCAGCATACAGGTGTTAACATTTTAAAATAATTTTTGTTTGCAATCTAGCAAGACAGGATATTTTGGAATTTGCACTGGGCAAGATTAGTGTATGTGGCATGGCTGATTTAAAGCTTGTGGTTGGTCACAGAGATATATTTATGCGTTTTGTTTTATTTTGGATATAGCTGGGAAACTTTAGTACCTCCACTACATTTATTTATTGCGGTTTCCTTTTTGGGGAGACTACCCCTCATTTCTTTAAGTTTAGAACATCTGAAAATGTTCTTATTGCTGTCTGTGCCTTCCTGTCTCAACAATTCTTTTTCTATGGGCATCACAGGGATAGAAGTGATAGAAATTTCCCCCAGTGGGGCCACAGAGATGTTTGGCCATCAAAAGGAGATAAACAAAATGTTCCACTAAAGAGGATAAGTGATATATTTACATTGGCATTGTGTTTCAGAGGTCTCTTTCTGTATCCAGCCAATATGTTTAAAACTTGAACTGCATTTTGGAGTGAATATCATGCCAAAAATCAGTGCCAGCAGGTATAGCCTTAATGAGTCTAAACGGCCGAGTATAACATAGTGTTTTAGCTAGGTGACTGCTCTTTGCTCTTGAGGGTCATAACAAAACACAAAGATCCAGAGGAAACCATAATCTAGGAAAACCTCTAATTAAAAGTAAATGATGACATTGATCATACACGAGTAGTGTATTACAGTCTCACATTCCACATTAAAGAAGGGTCAGAACCATGTCCTCTCATTTTCATTTATATGCAAAGATATTTTCAAGTTGTTCCTATTAAAAAGTTGTGGCTGCAGAGCGTAAATTTAGTTAACGTAGGCTTCTTTGCAAGCCTTGAAATGCTGTTGTAAAGATGTTTTTCTCCTGAAATGTCTTCTTTCATGTTAAATAAATCATACTATGAGGTGTTTGCATTATGTTTGAAGATGTATTATTGAAGTACGCTTTATTAGTTCTGCTGCTGGAGCTTTCCATTTTTCTTAGTGATAAAGTCCCAGATAAGATTCGCATCAAATTCAGAAAACGACAGCACAACTAGTAGCAAATAGGAAGGCAGGTGAGTCAACAATTGTAGGTTCACACAAGGTGTCCAAAGTGGACTCTGCTGACTAGGTAAAACACATCAGCTCTTCTATGTAGTACATTAATAAATAACACTGGCAACGGCACTCCATTTAATAAGTATCCCCCTCAAGGAAATGTATCTGGATATAAAATCTTTCCATTCACTTTCCATAGTGTGCACACTGATGAGTTCAGCAGCATCTGCTTTAGTTTCAGGGTTTTCTTGCTAACTAATCAGGAGTTTTTATGGTTTTACAGATGTACTTCAATAGCACAGAGTAGAAGAAGGTGCTGTGCTGTGACCAGCTATACAAACAAGATCCAAGGTACAGTGAAGTAAAATGAGCCATGAATAATACCTTCAGCAGATACACTGCCCTCCATTATCTATTAAAAGCTATAGAACAATTATAGACATACATGTACAGTAGCTTCTAGCATGATGAAGCAGGAGGGAGTTGCTCCCCTCCATTTGCCCCTTCCATATAGCCTACACTATGTTTTAGACAGATGCTAGAAGACAACTGTTCTTTTCACCTCTATGGCTTGCTCCTTCTGTTGCTTTTTCAGCCTACTTTACCATGTGTAAATCTTTTTGCAATGGATTTTTAGTTATCTATTATTGCAAGCACACAAAAACCTTTTTATTGTTCGTACAATATGTTCTCCTACAATACTTCTGTTTAATAACTAGGCCCTCAAAT